AAGAAAATGTGATTTTGCATAACCACGAAAAGATTAAGGAATTAGGGATTTTTATGCTACTACGGTAATACTATATTTACATTCTCATAATAATTTGACAAGAAAATATTATTTTACAAGAAAACTTATACATAATAATAATAATAATAATAAAATATTTTTTTTATCTTAAATTATATAATAAATATATTTTTAACTAGCTTTAATATTATTATAACATAAAAAAAGATTTGATAATATAATTTTTAAAAAGAAAAAATTATTATTTTTTTCTGCTATCATTATAATAATAATTTTTTGATTTTTTTTCTAATTATATTAATATTTTTTTTCTTAATTTATTTCAAAATAAGTATTATCACTATTTTGAAGTCAAAAATAATAATCAAGTGATACTTATTTTCAGAAAAATATAGTAATTAAAATATAATATTTATAAAAGAAATATAAATTTATTCAAAAAATCTAAATATTATAAATATTACAATTAGAATAATAAAAAATAGCCATTTTTTATTAAGCTTTATAATTTAGAAAAATGATATATTAAAAAACAATAAATTATAATAGTTTAACTAGATTGTAATTTGATCAAAATAAGTTATTACACATCTCTGTTATATTTTATAGATTTTTAATTTTATAAATTAGTTAACTTATAACTAGTATTATTTGTATTATATCATACAAAATATCATGAAGTTTATAATATTTCAAAATTTTGTTATATAAAAAATTGGATATCTTATACTATTTCCACTTTACTATAAATAAACTTTTATTATCTAAATATAAACTATAACTATTTTTATTAATATATATATCTATAATGCTATTTTTTTATTATAAATGTGTTTCTAAATAATAATTGCTTTATTTATATATTCTATATATCAAAATATTTGAGTTTGTATTAGCTATTATTGAATTATTAAGATATACCAATACAAATATTACATAGGATTAGAGCAATTTTATAATACTAAATATTATAAAAATGAATTAATAAGAGAAATTAAATATCTATTTTTTATTATTTCTAGTATTGAGTTTATAAAATAAGTATTTTTTTCTAATAGAATAATATTGAACTTAACTTTTAACTTATTATTTATTTTGCAAAATGAATTATTTATATATATTTATTTATTTGAGAAATACTAATATATTTTTTCAATATGAATATGTGATATAAATTGAATAATATAGAACTAAAGGATATATTTGTGAATATATTTTATTTATAGATTGTATATATTATTTTATTATATATTTTTGATTATTTATATATTTTATTTTAAAGAAAATGATCAAAAGAAATATATTACTGATTTAACATAAATAAAATACAAGTAAATTGATATTATATTTATCTTTAAATTAAATATGCAGTTTATTTAGGCTTTTAATTATATATGAGTCGGATTTCATATATTTGTGATATTTACATTATTAAAAATTTTTTTTTTATTTCAGAGATGTATTACATTTGAGCATTACTATAAATAATATAACTCTGGTAGAGATACTTTAAATTTCGCAAGAAATATATTTCGTTAGAACATGAATAGTTTTATCAAAATATATGCTATTTTTCAAAAAGAATTTTTGCATTATACATGTACTAATATGAATGATTATTATCGCAAAATGCTCTTTAAAAAGTTTAAATTAGATTATTATGTATTATATCATTTATTTTACTATTAATTGCATTTTTTATTTATAAAATTTGAAGGATTGCCTAATATACAATTAAGCAATAATATTAAATTTAATTGAATTTAAACCGATTGCGCATCTAAATGTTTTATATAATTAATAGAACGAGAAATTTCTTATCTATTTTTAAAGAAACTAATACTGTATGTATGATTAAAAATTTATTCTTTTTTAGAAATACGAATTGGCGAGTGAAAGGAGACATGAAAATTAAATTTATTATTTCTTGCAGTTGGCTGTTGGATAATCTGATTATTTGATTTGCTCATGATTTTCTCAGGTAAGTGATGTGATTGCACGAATCGATTAATATTATTCGAATGTTGAACCATTTCCGGATTGTTAGAATTCGATTCTTGTACCATTTCAGCTAAATTTTGCGTTGATTGAATGGAATCTTGAATTTGGCCATCCTTCAATTCTTTTTGTTTCCTTTTATTATGTATAATAAAACTTATTAGTGTGAGGCATATTATTATTATGCCTCCTATAATGACTCCAACAATTAACCCAGCATTATTTTTCTTTCCGTGATTAGGACCGTCAGATTCTTGTGTGCTAGTTATTGTTTGAACCCATGTCATAGAAGTCTCATTACTGACATCAAGAATAGCTACTGGTGCTTTTTGAGAAATTACTGGTACTGGTGGAGAAACTACTGGTGCTGGTGGAGGAACTACTGGTGCTTGTTGAGAAGCCCCTTGCGTTGATTGAGAAGTTGGTGGAGAAACTACTGGTGCTTGTTGAGAAGCCCCTTGCGTTGATTGAGAAGTTGGTGGAGAAACTACTGGTTCTTGTTGAGAAGCTGTTGGTTGAGAAGCTCCCTGTGCTGGTTGAGAAGTCCCTAGTGTTGATTGAGAAGTTGGTGGAGTCTCAGGAAACCGTTTACTTTTTTTATTTGATAGAATAGTACTGTCATTATTCGTAACATTTAATGATGTATTAGTATTATCGTTATTATCGAATTTGCCTACATAACATTAATAAAAATTTAACATAACTTTTTTGAATCAAAAAACAATTTCTTCAATATCTCACCATAAACAACAATCATATAATTATTGTAGATTGTTGCTGTATGCCAATAGGGTATCTGTTGTTGATTTTGATACGGCGACGATGAAATAGTTGGTAATTTCCAAGTGAAGGTTTCACCATTTCGAGCGCCCAAATTTTGAATGCTCAATAATGCAACAGCATTATTATTGTTTATTGGATTTGAATTTTGATCGGAATATCCGCCATATATCAAAATACTATTGTTTACTTTAATCAATATGCATTATCAAAAATTAATTAGAAAAATTATAAAAGTAAATCAGTTTTAAATTAAAATGACCTAACGTTTTACAGCAGTGTGACCACCACGGTTTGGCACCAGACCAGCGTTTGTAGCCTAAATGAAAATTGAAAAACTGAGTTTAAATCTTTAAATCTCTTTAAAATTTCATATTACAAAATGATTCTTTACATTTGATATCCTCCATTGCATTGTATCTGTCTGAAATATCCAAATCTTTTAATAGATAAATTATTAGCAAATTTTTGCCAATTAAATTTTCGAGAAAAAAAACAAAATTCATCAGTTACTTCTTCCATTCCAATGAAGCCATTTGTTGTTTGACCACCAATATATATAATATTATTGCCTATTACTGTCGCTGTATAGTCAAATCGGGTTTTTGTGTTTGTGCTTTGAATTGACGCTTGTTCTGTAAACTTCTTTGTTGTCAACGTTAAAGAATATATAGCCGGATCGTTATTTGACGTCAAGTGATAAGGGTTATCATCAATGCTGCCAGACCCGCCATAAATATACCATGTTCCGTTTTGATCAATGACTGAATTTAAGCCGCGCCGTGCACTCGGTGATGCTGAAACTTCAAGGGGTTTAGATAACAGATTTTGATTTGTATCGTATTGGATAATGTTCGCAGTCGCTTTATTCTGTATAAAGGAATAAAAATTTGCAATATGTTAATATAGTCGGATTCAATTAATTTTTTGATCTTAATTAATATAATTTTTACATCTGATGTGACGCCACCAAAATAAAAAATACTAGAGCCATTATCAACAGACGTTCCCCATGCGACAGAAAAATTCAGTGAAGTAATATTTATAAAATTGTTGGAAATATTAACTAAAGAAAAATTTGATGAAAGATCCAATATTTGCATTTCATTGACAAACGCGCCAGTTGCATCTTTTCCACCAATAATATATATTTTTTGGTTTATAAGATTCGCCGTATGTCCGTATCTTGCTATTTGTGAATTAACATTTTCAAAAGCAATTAGAGCAAAAGTAAGAAACAAAAAATATCTAAAAATATTATTATAAATCAAATACATTAAAACGAATAATTTCTATTTCAAAAAAAATTTTAAATAATTATAATCAATACGAAAAACGAATTCTTTAAAGTTTTAGCGTGCAAACTTTTAGTACTCCAATTAATAATAAGAAATTTCTGGGTTCAACATTCGAAAAAACAAAATTCCTTTGTTATAGTTGAATTAAAAATTCGTTTATTGTTTACATGTACATGTAAAACTATATTAATATCGATATACAACGATAAAAATTTTCCAATCAAAAGCTCACTTGGTAAAGTTTATGTGCGTGACGTGTTCTATTTATGTACATGTACATGTATATTTTATGTTATGTGTATGCGTATGCGTATATAGCGATTGTTGAATTATAAATTCCTTGTGTAATTGGGCACCCATCGATATCCGGACCAGATTATCACTTGATCAGCATCGTCACAACCTTTCAGATTTCATATGTAAATTTTAAAAAGTTTTTTTTGTTCGTTTACCTTCTCTTAAAATTCATTCAAAGAACTATAGGATTTTAGTCCATCTCGAGTTAAAGTTAAAATTTTATAGATAACTTTTAATATGATGCGCATGACAACAAAAAGAGTGGCCACATATAATATTACAAAAAAAAGTTATCATTTTCGTTATATTAAACATGAAACAATGAATTCAGATCCAGCAACAAAAACGATCAAGACAATACAGGTTCAAACTGCGATAATAATATCGATAATAGAAGCACAATAATGCTAAGCACAGATACTCATCGAAACTCAAAGAAACTAAATATTTTAAACAAACAAGTATTCATATTAAATCTATCAGAATTCACAATGTTGACCAAAAATTATCTTTTTAATCTATTCTAATGCTTGATCATAATCTTTATTAACATTAATATAAAAGTGATAAATAAACCGAATTTTCAAGCATCAAATTACATATGTCAATTTTTTTTATTGTTTAGTATTATTTTTTCGCTGTTGTAAAATGTGCAACTTTATTTACAACTATCTCTTTTGCATGATATCTATGTGCATTCTTCAAGTTTTGTTACATCTTACATATAGATATTGATTCGATGGATCCCAATATTATTAATAACTAATAAATCCTTGGATATTATTTTGTGTTGTACATTTAAATAAAGAATGTGAAGGTAGATGTCAGAACTAAATGTTTCTGGTAATAAGTCGTCACAAAGCTTCTTTCCGTGATTTAATATTATGCTTATTACAAATAAGATAACTATTATCATTTAATAAAAGATTAAATCAATATCTTTCATTTGATTTATGTTTTCAAATCTTCAAAATTTTCAAGTCTTCCTTCAATATTTTATTTTATGTTTTCAATCCAAATTTTTAATGCTTCTGGTTGTGTTAAATTAATTGATGAAACATCATTTAATAATTCTGCTAACAATGGATCTTTTTGAATAGAAAATAAATAAAAAGTTACTAATGAAGCATAATTATTATATCAGCATGGAATAATAGTGTAAAAGCAGTTAAATTTTCTAATATACTTTTAATTGTCATGTTGAATTTCAATTTTATGATTCATTCAAATTTTTATCTAGTTAAATTATTATTTAGCTTATATTTAATTATTATTATATCAATAGTTATCAAGTCAACTTCAATATATTATATATAGCTAGATAATCAATCATATTCCAAGATATACAATAATTAATATATTTAGAGAATTTGCAATAGATACATTATATATATTTTTATTAATATATCAAGCTTAATAAAAACTGAACTTCAGAATAAGAATCATGTAATAGATTAAATAATAATGAATTTTACTTTATTATAGATTGGTATAAAAAGATTTATATCTTAGATAAATATTAATAGATTATTTTTTCAAAATAAAATTTTAATTCTATCTTATTTAATTA